TTCTTTTACAAATTGGGTATCACTGCCACTTCAAGACCACCTAATGCTAAATCTGTTGTTTTTTCCAGGGTGCATCAGGCATCATTTTCCCCATTATCAAGGCTGAAGGAGTTAGACAAATGTTTTTCCCTGTAACTATGCCAGCATACTACAGAGGTCCTCCTGTTCATTGGGAGAATGAGGAAAACAATGGGAAAACTCAGAAACCCCACAAATATTTACTGCTGAGCCAAACCAATTTGTATCAGTAGTTAATCTTCTGCCACCAATTCTTTTTGACTTTCTAGCTAAGTAAACAAAACAAGTGTATAATAGGAACCATGTTGGTATGGTATTATTTCAGAGAATTGACATAGGATTACACTCTCTCCTTTGAATAGAGTACAATCTTAATACTGAAAAGTTTCGTATCACCATAATTGACATCTGAGACTAGTCTTGGCAAGTTACAGATTTCAACTGTTAACCCTCTGGTTTTGGTTTAAATAGAAATTGAATGTGCTTGATTGCAACTGCTTTGATGTGATAAGATATTAATGTGATGATGAGAAGTAAGATGGTAATATTTTTCAAAGTCCGCGAATCAGTACAGCTGCTCTAATAAATGATGTTTTTGGTTAGCAGCTAAAGATAAGATATCAAATTTATTGTTCTAGGCCTAATTCAAGTGAGTACCCATAGTTTTCTTTCTTTAAAAAAAAAGTCATTGCTATGAGCTCCGATAAATATATTTAATTTAATGATAAATATACGAATTTTCAAAATAAAACATATAGGATATATAACAAGTTTGTTGTGGGTCGTATTCAAAATAATTGTGCTTTATCACCTTCCTTAAATGCAAAGAATTAGTCAATAAAAATTATTAAAATGAGTTCAATGAAATCAAAGTCAACAGCTAAAGTATGGTGGAGGAGTTTGACAAAAATTACCTGACTGCCTGATCCCAACCTCCACTAGTCCAAAATTGAAGTCCAATATCTTGCACTAGATTAGGTTTATTATGTGATGATAAGTACTTGCTTAATAATCTAATGACAAGAGTGTTATTAATATAAAAAATTTCTTAAATATGCATCATAAAATTATGAAAAAAATATCAAGCAAGATTCGGAAGTTTTTTATTCATTTATTGACGTTACTTGACAATTTATATTTATTTCAACATTGTGTGAAAATAACTTTCCTTGACTAAATCCAGTCCTTGCTTTGAAGCTTTCTCCAAAGTAAACCATTCAGATTAACCATGTTAACAAACCAACAAATAAAAATAGAAATTAGTACAAGTCAAATAAAGCAAACGGTAAAATAAAATAAAAATAAAAATTTAGCCATTGCCACTGCCTTGCTTTGGTGGGAGCTGACTTATTACACAACCTTGCACTGATTACTACTTCATGTCAATGCTAGTTATGCTGTGGTTTGTTCATTAATTGATGCATTGGAGGATTTTTTTTTGGGTGGTTTGGCTCTGTTTTCACCCCCTGTTTGGCTCCCATTGTATTGAAAGCTTGAAAGATTATTGTTATTGACTATACTTGCTCAGATTTTAAGTCTCATTTCCTATATATTAGTATATAGTTTTTCTTTTAATCTGACTATCTGTCACCCCCTGTTTGGCTCCCATGGTTTTGTCAGAAACCATGAAACCATTTATTGCTAAAACATATTAAGCCAGTGGCAACTAAACTCTCAGGGTCAATGATTAGTCTTACTTGGACAGCTTTTCTATTTTTTATCCCTATGACTGACAAGTTTAAATTAAGCTAAGTATCATGTCTTCCATATGAGACAAACACAAATTCTTCATTTTAGCCACTTTCATGGATTTCTTTGAGTTATTTTATGTGAAACCCTGGAAAAAACCTTGTTTGAGTTTTTTGCTTTTTTTTCAACATTGAACACTAGCACAAACCCTGTTGGAAAAAGGGTTAAAAGAAGTTGAAAGAAATTGCCAAAGCCAAGCTGTTTCTGAGCTCATTGCAAGCCTATATAAGGCAACCTTAACTAACAAGTAAAATCACAGCAAACAACATCCGAGAGAAACCCAAACAAGAAGAGAGAAGGCCAAATTAGAGCTTTTTTCTTCGTGTCAATTTTTATTGAACTTCGAAGGTATGGTTGATCAGGTTATACTGGGAGGAGTTATAGCCTCTCTTCTTGGTGTTGTTCTGTTGCACCAAATAAGAAGAAGAAAGGTGAAGGGAGCTTCTTCAATGGGGATTATTCAAGGGAATGAGTGTTTGGAGAGCTCTCAGAATGAAATGCTATCCGGGTCAGAGATAGCTACTACAAGTACAGATATAATCATTGTCGGAGCTGGCGTTGCTGGTTCAGCCCTTGCCTACACTCTTGGAAAGGTAACAGTTTCTGTCTGTTTGGTGACAATTTGGAGAGTTTTATCCTTACAGTTAGGGTCATGTTAGCTAGTTAACTTCTACTTCGACAAGTAAATAGTAACAATAGAACTCATCCTGGTGGCTGTCGCTTCATCAACAATCCTTTAAAATGTACCCAAAGTCTTCATTAGCAAATATTTTTTGGCAATAGTCTCTTCTGATAATTGGATCAATAAAATTTGTTAAGCAGACACCCCATTCTTCTTCATTCTTCAAAATTTATGCAGGAAGGACGTCGTGTGCGTGTCATCGAAAGAGACTTGTCTGAGCCTGACAGAATCGTTGGTGAACTGCTACAACCAGGAGGCTACCTCAAGTTGATTGAATTGGGTCTTGATGGTAAGTATGAAAAACTTCGATGACCAACATGAACTTAAAGCCATCTAGATTTAATCTTTAACCCCTCTTTTTGTTTTTTCGTTTTTATAATCATGGTTCATCGTGTGCCTGTAGATTGTGTGAAGCAGATTGATTCTCAGCAAGTGTTCGGGTATGCTCTTTACAAGGACGGAAAGAATACTAGATTGTCCTATCCATTGGAAGGATTTCGTTCGGATGTGTCTGGCAGGGGCTTCCACTATGGGCGGTTCATACAAAAGATGCGTGAGAAAGCTGCTTCCCTCCCCAAGTACTCTTCCTTCACCATTAATTAACTCTGAAAATACAATAAAGTAGAGCAATTATGCATACCCATGTTTCGTGTCATTTCTCAAATTCTCATTTCTTAATTTTCTTTACAGTGTGAGTTTGGAACAAGGTACTGTGACATCTTTAATCGAAGACAAAGGAACTATCAAGGGAGTGAACTATAAAACCAATGATGGCCAAGAGCTGAGAGCGAATGCTCCCCTCACAGCTGTATGCGATGGTTGTTTTTCAAATTTGCGACGCTCCCTCTGCAACCCCAAGGTAAAGATTCTTTTGCCCGTCTAAATCGGCAATTTGGCATGTTACAAAGTGTCCCCATGTGAAAATTTAATCTCTATATTCGAGAACCCAGATTTCATTTCTCATATGATTTAAGTATCCCATTTCAGGTTGATATTCCCTCTTGCTTTGTCGGCCTGGTCCTGGAGAATTGCGACCTTCCATATCTGAATCATGGGCATGTTATATTGGCTGATCCTTCACCTATCTTGTTTTATCCTATTAGTAGCAATGAAATCCGCTGTTTGGTGGATGTTCCTGGCCAAAAGGTCCCTTCCATTCCTAATGGTGACATGGCTCAATATTTGAAGACTGTTGTGGCTCCTCAGGTATTATTACCAGTAACTACTATCTGGTTGTCAACGTTTTCTGTTTTTCAATCACTGATGCATGACCAGTTTTTCTGCTTTTCACCAGTAATGTGGGCTAAGATTTACATAACATTCAACCGGAGTTTTTGATATCAAATAGGATAATCTAAGCTACCGAATCTTTCTGTCAATCTGATAAACCCTAGTTCTTAAGATTTTAAAATGATTAATTGGAACATTCCAGATTCCTCCAGAGCTGTACACTTCTTTCATATCTGCAATTGACAAAGGAAACATAAGAACGATGCATAACAGAAGCATGCCTGCTGCTCCATATCCCACTCCTGGAGCACTTCTGATGGGGGATGCGTTCAACATGCGGCACCCTTTAACTGGTGGAGGAATGACTGTGGCTTTATCTGATGTTGTTGTGCTTAGAGATCTTCTTAGACCCTTGCGTGATCTCCATGATGCTTCTGCCCTCTGCAGATACCTTGAATCCTTTTACACCATCCGTAAGGTAAGAACTACAAAAGAAGGGCACATATTTCCTATCAAATACATCCGCTACAAGCACACTGATTAACAAGATGGTGCATAATTCTTTTTTGCAGCCGGTGGCATCTACAATAAACACATTAGCTGGTGCCTTATACAAGGTGTTCTGCGCATCCCCTGACCCGGCAAGGAAGGAAATGCGACAAGCATGTTTTGATTATCTGAGCCTTGGAGGTGTATTCTCCAATGGACCAATAGCTCTCCTTTCAGGCCTGAACCCTCGTCCTCTAAGCCTAGTCCTCCATTTCTTCGCTGTGGCTATCTTTGGTGTTGGACGCTTGTTACTTCCATTTCCTTCACTAAATCGCGTTTGGATTGGTGCTAGATTAATTTCGGTGTGTGTTTATCTCTATACGCCATTCCTTGTAACATCCACCAGGAATTATTCATTCTTCTATCTGATCTAATCCAATTTCCCATTTTGTTGTCAGGGTGCATCAGGCATCATTATCCCTATACTCAAGGCTGAAGGAGTCCGACAGGTTTTCTTCCCTGTGACGGTGCCAGCTTACCACAGGGCTCCTCCGGTTCACTGAGACAGTCAGAAGCTGGAAACAGGGTAGTTTCTACATAAACGAGTTCTTTCCTTGCGAAAATTGCAAGGTTGGGATCAATGTAATTGCTATATATGAAAAGAAAATGTATACCTTTCTGTATTTTTTCTGAACAAGTAGGCATCTGCAATGTGCCTAATCCTGTTGCAACAAGTATTTTCCATTTGAAATTGAAATGGTTTTCTCATTTAATATCCACCCCCAACCAAATAAACCTGAAAAAGTTAGAATGTGAGATGAAATTGTCGGAGTTCTATTTTTGAAAAGAAATTTTGAATGAAGATTATCAATGATTCTTACAAACTCCATTCCTATTGCTTTTTCTAAAGAAATAGAAAGAAATTCTCTTATAATTGAATTTAATTATAAGTAAAAAATAAATATATCATGATAAATAATTACGTGATATTTTCACCATTCATATTAACATCATGTGAATATAAAATAAAAAATTATAATCTAACTAATGGTAATTAATAATATTAGTTATACAAATTTACTTGATTTAAAATAAAAATAGTAAAATTTAATTAAGTATAATAAAATAATAAAAATTTAATTAAATTTTTTTAAATAATTTAAAATTTTTTTAAAATATTATGACATGAACAAATAATAACCTGTAAACAAGGTTACACTCCATCGTCCTTAAATATTTGTTTTTTTTAATGCCACGAAGATGAAAATAAAATTTTTGACCTTGATATATTATATTAAATTTTGAGATTTTTATATAATATAAATATTTGATGATTTTTAATATGAAAAATAAATTTGAAATATAGAAAAAAGGGAGTATTAAATAATGAAAAATAAATTTGTAATGCAAAAAACTATAGTACAATCTATTTTAAACCCATAAAAAAATTGATTAAAGAAAAAGGGCTATTACAATACGAATGACGGTATGACGGGAATAGCCTCGTTTAAAAACAAAAAGACAATAATACCCTCAATATGACCTATTCAACCCTAATCTTTCTCCAGATTTCCGAAACTGTTATCCCCAATTCTGTCCCAAAGTAGAATTGAAGATTTACTTTATTCTTTTTGGGATTTTTCCGTTGTAGCCTTCGCCTTTGAATTCTATTTAAGGTCAGTACAAACTCATTCGAACGATTAAATATATTGAAAAAATTTTAGTTTTTTTTTTGGCTCAATGATTGGTCTTTATTTCGTCGATCTTAGGTTCCCCCTGGAATTTATTTTATGTCGGTTTTTAATGTTGAAATTTCCATTTTTTGAACGTAATGTTATCTGGGTTTTTTTTTTATTTTTTCTTTCTATGTCTGAATATGTTGTTGTTGTTGTTGTCATGGGAGTGTTAATGGGAAAAAGGTTATAATGGATTTTTTTTCCTTTAAATTTTCAAAAATTTTGCACCTTTTTTTTGTACTTAAAAGGTAAAATTTAGCTATTAAGTGACGTGGGTAGTCTTTCCTGATTTTCCTTTCTGGGTTTTCTTTTATTGCCGCATTGGGTGAGTGAATTTGAGCTCAGAGGGATGTGTACATTTGAAATTAAAGGCATAGTATGTGTTTTTGAATTACAAGGACAATTCCCATTGTAATTTCTGTAGTAAATTAACTTGTTAAAAATATTTTGGGTTTTACATGAATAACATTTTATTATGGTAGATGTGGTTCCCAGCCTGGTTTTAATTGATTTTAATGAAATTTTCATGCTTTAGAATAAAATTGCTGCTTGCTGGTATGAACACTGTGTTTTTAACAATTAATTGTATTCAGCAAGGATGGCATAATTTCGTTTATTCGGTTAATGTAGGTAGTCATATTTAGTAAATCTAGAATGCTTCTGTGTCTACTACCCTTGGTTCTCTTCTAGCAATACATTGTATATTTCCAATGGGAATTGCTTATTTCTTTCTTTGGTAGTTCGTAAATATGGCAGATACAAATCATGTGAATCGTACCTTCTCAAACTTTCCTTTGTTCCATGAATTTTCTTGTTTAGCTAGTTGATAGTATTAGTAGTACTTTGGCCGGAGATCCTCTTGTATACTTTTCTTTTGTTAATGCAAATCAATACTCCTTTCAGGAGTCTTAGGTTCTTCCTTGGATGAAACCAATGCTTTCCTTTGTATGACTCGAAATATGTTCCTTTCTCTTGCTGACCTTTTTCTGATAATTATTCACTTTATTCATTATTGTGTTCATGTGGAGCTTCTTGAATGGTTGTGCATTGACTTCGACAAAGTTGGCCTTAATAACTTCTTTTCCCTGAGCGTAAATATTAACTTCCTTGCCATGCCAGGTAGGACGAAGCTGATTAGTTGATCATTACATGGAAAAGGTGGAGTCTTAATTTTGTATTAGTTGCTCCATGGGAGACCACAATTTCTTTGTTGGTCAGGAGTTCCTTGATGTCAAGGCCTTCCGTAATGCTATTAAAGAAGCTGCCATTGCACAACACTTTGAGCTGCGTATTGTAAAAAGTGACCTTATTCGTTACTTTGCAAAGTGTGCCACCGAAGGATGTCCATGGCGCATTCGTGCAGTTAAGCTTCCTAATGCCCCAACCTTTACAATAAGAAGCCTTGAAGGAACACACACTTGTGGGAAAAATGCACAAAATGGGCACCATCAAGCTTCTGTAGATTGGATTGTGAGTTTTATCGAAGAACGGCTGCGGGATAACATCAATTACAAACCAAAGGATATATTGCATGACATTCATAAACAATATGGGATCACTATACCATACAAGCAAGCTTGGCGTGCAAAGGAACGGGGTCTTGCTGCTATTTATGGCTCTTCTGAAGAAGGATATTGCTTGCTTCCTGCTTATTGCGAGCAAATAAAGAAAACCAACCCTGGAAGTATTGCAGAGGTGTTCACCACTGGTGCAGATAATCGGTTCCAGCGGCTCTTTGTTTCCTTTCATGCATCTATATATGGATTCTTGAATGGATGCTTGCCAATTGTTGGGCTTGGTGGAATTCAGCTTAAAAGCAAATATCTTGGTACTTTGCTTTCAGCAACTTCTTTTGATGCTGATGGTGGGTTGTTTCCACTTGCATTTGGTGTTGTTGATACAGAAAATGATGATAGCTGGATCTGGTTCTTATCAGAGTTGCATAAGGCCTTAGAGATGAATTCTGAGAAAATGCCTCAGCTGACTTTTCTATCAGATGGACAAAAAAGCATCATGGATGCCGCAAGGAGAAAGTTCTCAAATTCCGGGCATGCAATTTGTATGCACCATTTGACTGAAAGCATTGGCAGAGAGTTCAAGAACTCACGGCTTGTTCATCTTCTGTGGAAAGCGGCATATGCTACAACTACTATTGCTTTTAAAGAGAAAATGGCTGAAATAGAGGAGGTTTCTCCTGAAGCTGCAAAGTGGATACAGCAATTTCCTACTTCCCGCTGGGCATTGGTATATTTTGAAGGGACACGTTATGGGCACCTCTCATCAAACATTGAGGAATTTAATCGGTGGATTCTTGAAGCGCGGGAATTACCCATAATCCAGGTGATTGAACAAATTCACAGCAAATTGATGTCTGAGTTTAAGGACCGGCGAATTAAAAGTAGTTCATGGTTTTCTGTTCTTGCCCCTGCTGCTGAAACGCGAATGTTAGAAGCAATTAGCCGTGCATCAACTTATCAAGTTCTACGGTCAGATGAAGTAGAATTTGAGGTGATATCATCCGAACGATCAGACATCGTGAATATCGGGAAACATTGTTGTTCTTGTCGAGATTGGCAACTTTATGGAATACCTTGTTCACATGCTGTTGCAGCACTCATGTCATGCCGAAAAGACGTATATTCTTTCACGGAGAAATGCTTTACTGTGGCCAATTATCGTGAGACTTATGCAAAAGGGATACACCTTATTCCTCAGAAGATTGATTGGAAGAAGATCGGCGAGGCTCCCATCCCCATGGATGAGGATGCTCAAGTTGTGCGACCACCCAAGTTTCGTCGGCCACCAGGTCGTCCTGAAAAGAAACGGATATGTGTAGAGGATCTCAATCGTGAGAAACACACAGTGCATTGTAGTCGGTGTAACCAGACAGGGCATTATAAAACAACTTGCAAAGCATAGATTATGAAGGGTATCGAACAGTTCTAGGATCTAATTTTGTACTTTTATAGATTGTAGATTATATCAAAAATAGTGGTGTTGTATTAGGGCATACTTATTACTCAGTGTAAAATAGGAAAATCTCGATTGTATCTCTTTCAGAATGTATGTATAATGGGAATGAAATTGAAATTGAAAGGCCCCAGGCTATCATTTTGCTGCTGTGCTTATAAGGCCACGAATACAGCAGATTGGAACAACCTGTTTCATCAACTTATTATATATATAAAAGCCAGGTTTCGGTAGATGAAATTCATTTTACATGCCAAACGCTCTGCATTTCCAAGGAATTTCCTAAACATAGTTCCGATGAGATATCATGATCAATGGTCCTCAAAGAAAAGAGAACATAAATCATAGAAGCAGCACGTCTTTCATTTCAGATCCAGAACTGAGATACCCTAAATCAGTCAAATGCTCTTGATTCAATTGTAAAGCTGCTGGAATCTTCTGCAGGCTTCCAAGACATTCTCCCGGTGACCAAATGCACTGACCCTGATGAAACCTTCACCACCAGGTCCAAAACCACTTCCAGGCGTAGTAACAATGTGGGTCTTCTCAAGTATCTCACTGAACACATCCCATGAGTTTTGGCCAGGAAAGTGAACCCACACATATGGTGCATTCTGTCCTCCATACACTTTAAACCCAAGCGAGTTAAATGCCCCTACTATAATTTTGGTATTTTCTTTGTAGAAGCCAATCACCTCTTGCATAGCCTGCAAGGAAACAATAATAAATCAGCATGCTGGCATGCAGAACATCTGCTGTATAAGAAATTTTCAGAACATTACAAAGCTTGGTGAAGTGAACCAACGAACATTTGAGAATTTCTTCTCTTGCATATTTTGATAATAAAGCCAGGAAGGGACACTAACCTCAAGCCCTTCAGGTAAAAGGCAAGCCAAGCCACCAGCTTGGGCAATATTAGATGCACCATTAAAGCAAGTACAAACAATACGGTTGAAGTCCTTGGCAACGGGAAATCCATCTGAAAATAGAAGCTGTTTTGGAACAACAGTCCAACCTAGACGAACTCCAGTGAACCCAGCATACTTGCTAAAGGAAGCTGTTTCAATTGCAACCTACAATAAGAATAAGGAAATTTACATGTCAAACATACATTTATCGTTTATCACTCTAGATAACAAACACAAGTGAAGGAACAAATTATTAACTACAGGATTACCTCTTTTGCTCCAGGAATTTCAAAGATAGAGCGCGGGCTATCATCTGACATATAAATGGCATATGCAGAATCATAGACAATGATAGACCCATTGTCCTTAGCAAACTGAACTAACTGAGTCAATTGCTCTCTTGTTGCAGCAGCACCAGTAGGATTGTTTGGAGAACAGAAAAATATGATATCTGTTCTAGCAACAGTCGATAAATCGGGAAAAAATCCATTCTCTGGGGTACACCTCATGTACTCAATATTTGCATACTTCTCAACATCCTTTTGAAACTGTCCCGTCTGACCCATGATAACACTGGAATCTACATAAGCCTGCATGGGTAAATTTGAAATTTAGAATTGCAAATAATAAAAAAGACACATGAAAACCATTTTTTTTTCTTTTGCACTTAATTGTTTTCCTCTTGCCTCACTCCAATTCTTTCTTAATTTATTTCTTCTTTTCAATCCATTTCAATCAGAAAACAACCTCTGCTCTGATACTTAGAAAAACATTCTGGCAACAGAATGTGCAAGCAGGTGCTGACACCATTTACCTGTTGGGGGGGACAGTGAAAAAGCTCTTTGCTTTCTTTACTATCAGTTATTTCAGTCATTGTTACAGACCCACAACCAAACATAACAAGTGCCCATGTGGTCTCACCCAAACGACTAACATGCCTAACTACGTAAGCTGTCAAATATCTGAATTAACATATCCAGATTACAATGGGGTAAACCAAGTGATCGCATGTTTGAAATAGATAAGTGAGATTGGAGTAGATAAATCAGAACTTGACAGGTGTATCTAACTTTCAAATAAACAAATGGAAAACATTGTTGGTTGAAGCTTAATAAAATATAGAACCAGATGATGATTTGACGTTAGAACATGATAAAATAAATTGAAAAAGATTGACACATTAACAAAAAGAAAGAAAAGTCCTTCTACTTCATATCAAAATGAATTACCGGGTATGATGGGTCTTGCACTGCCATTGTAACATTAGATCCAAAAACGACCTGCACACAAAGTGAAAGCAAAACCACCATGATTAATTCTGATAGACAAGTTAACATGCTGTGAATCAACTACTTCAAGAAAAGGTAAGGCAAAGTACTTGCGAAGAAATCTCATAATCAAATCAAACCTGAAGGCGACCTATATCACATTTAGCACCATCTGAGACAAATATATCATCTTCCTCAATGCCAAGGTTGCTATAAAATGTTGAAGCAAGTGCCGCTCTCAATGCCTGCAGACATAAACATTACAGTTACGTCTTGAAACATAGTATTTCACATCAAGAGAATGTGTAAAATATATCGAAATGCCTATGCATAACATTAGTGGCTTCTGAGTTGTCCCGATTCAATCCACTTAGTGCTTTAGTTTATAGTTGACAAATCAAGCATTGGCAATTTGCTATCACCCCACCCCCACAAAATATGCATCTAAATAGTGATAAAATCAAACCAGAATTTTGTTAATGAACTTCAAACTGAAATATCTAAAAAGACTCAAAAGTAAAACATACTTTTTCACCTTGTTCAGCTCCATAACCACTGTAACCCTCCAGTGTAGACAATGCTTGAGATCTCTGTCAAATGGAGAACAATTCAAATGGATATCAGTATTGTATAATCATCCATTGATCCAATCACTAGTCCGAAACACAAATGCTCCACAACAGATTTCCTACAAAGTAGGCTTGAACAAAATTTGACATTAGTAGTAAGACATCTTGGCTGGTACCAGATATTGAATCCCAAAAAGGACAAGAACGTGGGAGACATACCTTAGCCATTGCAGAAGTAATAACATCTGGAATAGGTTCAGTAGTATCACCAATTCCAAGACTTATTACTTGGGCATTTGGGTACTTCAGTAAGTGTGCAGCCCTTCTTCTGGCAACCTATCTCAAAAACCATTAGAAAAAGTATTTCAACGGTGAAAGAATAAAAGTCTGGAAACCAGAGCTGAACAAACTTTTTCTTTATTAATTAAAAAAAAAAAAAGAATACAGTCAAAGACTAAAGCATTTGTGGAAACAGGACATGCTATAATCTGTATCTCGAGGGAAAAAGTTGATGTATAACACCAATGGCAACAAAGACAAGGTTACAATAATGGGAAGTGCCACAGACCTCTGGAAACAGGTAACCAGCTTGAAGCTTGGCTATGTTTGAATTGCGAGGCACCTTTGTTTTGTAATCTTCAAAACAAACAAAAAAACCAGCATAGTACTCTTTAGTCCTAAAATCATCAAAATTCAAAAGGACTTATAGAAAATAAGAAATACCATTACTTAGTCATTTGTGCGCAACTACTCATGAATTGTTACTCTTAGTAACATTACCAACTCAGGGCATTAGCTTTCAAACAAAAATGTCTAAGTTTTCATATGCCCAAACTGTATTGCAATAATAATAATAATAATAATAATAATAATAACAAGGCACTAATAAATAGGGGGAAAAAAAGGGAAAAAGAATGAGCACCAGTCTGCTGCTGTTCTAGAGGAGTGGAAACACATTTACATATTTTAAAGCTTTTCACTGGAACTGAAACCCTCTGGGTCCTGCTGCATCATACCCAAAAAGGTAAATTCAAAACTGTAAAAACTAACTAATTGAAATGATAAAAGACAAAAAGAAATGGGCATTTCGTTTTCTCAACAACCACACAGAGCCAAGAGACTCAAAAGGAAAAAAAAAATTAGAAAACAAAACGTACCTTGAATTGAAGCTGGTTGGAGCTAAGAAAGCAGAGGAAGATGAAGAAGTCATGGAAGTTGATAGATTGCTCATCAGAGACATTTTCAGATTTTCTTCAGGAAATACTGGAAAAGCCGCTTCCTTTCACGGTCGGCGGAAAGCAAAGACTAAACCCTAGTGTTCAGCTAAGTCAGCTTAGTCAAAAAAAAGAAACATTAGTCTGACAAACCTTGTGCCACGTCATGTGGGACCCGTTTCTTTGGCCTTTTTATCTGACGTGGCAAGCCTTCAGTCCACGCCAAAAAAAAGGAACAAAATTTTTACGCGTGAATTAAAAAAAGAGAAACTTTTTAAATGTAAGCAGCCCGGTTTAGAATCAAAGCTCGCCGATCGGTCATTCCTCCCGATTGAGAGAGCTAGGGTTAGGGCTTTCGATATTGCGAAGGAGAAACGGTGTGGCTGCTTCAATCGAATCGGATTTTTCGCTTTTTCATTGCATCGGTTCATCCATTGATTGGGTAAAGTTTCTTTTTTTTTTTTCTTATTTTTGATATGTATTTTACGGAGAAATTAATTGTCTATGCTAATGTCGGTTTCCAATTGGGATTTTGGGATTTTGAAAAAAGATCAAATTTTCAAAGAAAAGATTTCTTTTGCCGATGCATGTGGATAAGACCAAATGAATTGAACTTGGGCTGTTAATCTTTCATGCGAAATCTCAGATTTTCCTTTCGACGTTTGAGCAATTAAAAAAGTGTAATTTTCGTATTTGATCATAGTTTTTGAGCGGGTTCTGTTTGTTATTGGGTCATAATTGTTCTGACATTGATAAATTCCTGCTGGGTTTTATAATTTTACAGATTTTCTTTAGTTGATTGTGAATTATCCATGTATGTTCAATGGGAACTGCATCTGTTAACGCATTTGGATATGAATATGCTTTTGCAGCCTTAGATGGATCTGGAAACAGAAAACAGAATAGCTGCTATTCTTTTAAAAGAAGCAGCAGAACTGAAACGACAAGCTGACAGGGATGGTGTTCATGTTTATCTTCAGCAGCCAAAAGTAAGGGGACGTCCAAATTCACGGTTCCTCACTGCAACTGTGCTTGGTGTACAGCAAGGTTAGTTATTTTGTTGCTATATTAAGCTTGCATTTTCATCTGTTTGATTCTACATCTCAGTGATTTGCAATTGAAAGTGGGTCCTAACCTCCTTTTCTTGCAAACAAGTTCAATAGCACGTTTAGGTTACTTAGAGCACTGTTGATCAGTAAATTCCAGTCTGGCTAAGTGAAAAGAACAGAGCAATTCTACATACCTTAGGAAAGGAAAGAGTGTTTTGAGTGGTTTCAGAAAGCATAAGAGTGGCACACATGCATGCAAGAATAATAGAAAATTATAGGAACGTAGAATGATAATCTTTCGATTTTCTCCTTATATTTCTGGAACACTGAATTGGGATGGATCTTTTGGACCAGCTATAAGGTCTGTAAATATTAGAAAGGAATCTTTGCAGTTTATGCAGATGTTTCCCTTGCAAAAGTTTTCTTTTTCTCCTTTCTGATTTTGTTGCTAACGTTGTATGTTGTCTGTGTCTGTTTATTTCCCCATCTTTTTAGCAAATCGAGCTGTTGAAGTGAATGAGATGTGGCGAGTTCGACAAAAGGAGCTGGAGCTAAATGATAGGCTAAAAGGAAGATCAAGAGACGACAGCAGGCATAGCAGGAGTCATGGGGACATTAGCAACCCCTCCAGAAGCACAAGTAGGAGGCATGACAGCAATGCTAGTGCTTCATGTTCATCAAGCAAGAGAGTGGCAGAGAGTAGTTATTCAAGGGAAGATGAAGGTCTAAGAGATGGAGAGATTGAGGAATTTCTTAACTCAAGGTTTGTACCTGCACCTGCACCTGCACCTTGCTATAATTTTTTACCACATTTATATGAAAACTGTTGTTTTGGGAAGAATTAAAGGTTTGATGTTTATCTTTGCTGCAAATGTTATTAAGATTTTTATCAGAAAAGTTCGCTGGTGAAAATCTTATTGAAAAAATCTACTGACTGAAGAACCTGTTCTATGATGGCAGGATCAAGCGCGGTCGAGGCTCTATAGGTTCAAGGATGGATGAAACAGGACCTTACCTACCAACGAATTGCAACTCCCCCGTGAAGCTGTCAACAAGCCCCATTGCAAGGGAACATCGTGTAACATTGGGTCCTGAGAAGCCTTATTCACTGAAGTCTGATGAGGAGCTTCATGAACATAGACGGAAGAAAGAAAAAGAAAAGGACGGTTCTGATAAGAAGCATTCTAGGAAGCACAAATCTAAAGAAAAATCTAGAGATAAGAAAAAGAAGAGGAAGGAGGAATATAGAAGTAAACATCGTAAATGAGTAATACAAGGCCTTGAAAGAAGTTTTTTTGTTCATTTATGTACTACAAGTAATAATTTGTTGTACAAAGTTAGTTTCTTCCTCTATGATGATTATTGTTTTAATGCAAAGAATACATGCTTGAATGCTAATGCTGAGTTTTTTTCCTTTGCCCTCTGTTTTATACTGAAACGAGCAAGTTCACATCAACTATTGAAATTATTACTTTTGAAACATCACTCTTAGGAGGGAAATCAAACAAAAACAACTTTCTAAGATTTTCAATTACCATTCATGAATAAATTGACAGCACCATTTAGTTTTATTGCTTAATGAGGAAATGTTCCAATTGTAAGTAAAATAAATTATAAATATCAAAGAGAGAGAAAAGGGGAGCAAAAACAGTGGCGCAGATTGGCTGCTGGGAATGAGATGGGCAACCATATGTAATTCACCACAATCTAGACAGTCACATTTATACAGGCAACTCCTTTTTTTTTTTTTTTTGCTCCTTGCTCAGCAATTTGTCGCTTCTATCAGCAATTACATACACGTCTCTTTAACATATCGTTCCAAAAATACAAGAGAGTTTCCTCATTTCACTCCTCTACTGCCGACTGCATTTGCATTCAACCAGAACAGTATATCATATGCCTATCATAAGCTGTATTGAACCAAATTTAACTACAGGCCAAAATAGAATAACAAATTTTTTTTATCATCATCTGTGTCGCAGAAAACTTCTCGACAAGACAAACGTCATGAGTCCTCGTAATGATGATCTGTCTCGTCGAAGATCTCCTCCTGGCCAAGGTCAGGTATAAGGTTATTGCGTTAGGAACTGTTGACAAAAATGAAATCACAACCTTGCCAAACATAGTCAGAGGTACCTGCAAAAGCTCTTCAATGACATCTTCCATTGTTATTATGCCAACAGCCTCCTCTTCTTCAGGTAGCTTCGGGAGTGGGTTGCCATTTAGATGTAGAATGTCTGAATCAACACCCTTTGTCCACTTCTTGCTCCGAGAACCACTCTTGAAAGAATTGCCAGCAGCAGGAAAGCTCTTCCACTTCTTAAGTGATCTCTTGCGTCTTAAAGTATTCTCTTGGGAAGCTTTGTCACCATCAATGTCTACTTTCACTTCCGGCAATGGACCTATTTTAAGAGAGGAGAAAACAAACAGATAGGAGACAAAGATAGAGCAATAAATATCAAAATGGCCGCCAAACATGAATTAAAAATTCGCATCATAGGTACAGCTTACATCAACTGCTCAGTCATGGTTCAAGGGGAAATTTGAAGAGAATATACCAATAAGAGGCTGATACTTACTCCCAGCAGAGTTACTAGAAGGTGGCTGCTCTGTCTTGTTGCACTGTCTCACAACAACGGCCATGTGGCTGTGACCTTTTTGAAATTCATTTAATATATCATACAATGGCAATGTTTCTTGAACCCTATAACATTCGAACATATAGAGGATCAGCCAATCAGTAAAGTGATAGACAGGGAATGCTTTCCAGAATAATACAAATTAAAGTTGTGCATTATCTTAAAAGCTCACTTAATACCTTGGAATCCTTCGTATAGTAACACTTTTCACAGGTACTTCATCTTCAGGGTGAATTGTCAATAAATTCTTGACCTGTAAGATTAAAAGATAATTGATTAGCTAAATACAAAAGACCTGGAGAATAAACAATAAAAAAAACTAAGAAAAAGTAACAAATACGTAACAAAAAGATTAGGATTCAGAAACCCCTAGTCATCTTAAATGTATTGCCACATACTAAGCACATGAGTGAAAAACTTATTTAGAAAGTGAATGTGCAAGGGTGGCGGTGTGCATTACATAATTCATGCAACCATTAGCATCATCACATCACAAAGCATTGTCCAGGTCCAAAATCATGTTAAAGGAAGAATTTTGAAGAAGAGGAAAATGATTAGCTGAAACTATGCTCTGCATAACACTCAACAAACAGTTATTAATATTAATTGTAGCCAAGAAAATTGATTACCAGAATGAGTCCAATTATGTTTGTGGGCTGCTCATAATAAACTGGTACTCTGCTGTGTCCTTTCTCCAAAATTAAACTCATCAATTCCCTGTCCACAGCAAGCATGTAATGGAAGCTAATGATGAAAGTTGAAAAAGAGATGCAAATGCTATCTTTCTTAAAAATTTACATAAAACCATACCTGTCCAGCTTGGTGTTAATATCAATGGCAAACGTTTCTGATATAGGAGTCATGGCATCTTTAGCTGCTTTCTCAGTAAGCTCAAGTGCTCCAGCTATGATTGTTGTCTCATCATGCGTCAGTTCTCCTCCTTTTCCAGCCTAAGAAAGGTCCAATAGAAGGATCATAAATCCAAAAGTTAGGATGAAAGAAGGTAGGCAATTCAGAAAGCAAAGACTCATCAACAATTTTACACAGGCAGTTAAGCAAAGTCAACTAACAACTGTAACAAATTAAGGGCACGGCAGGTGAAATCACTGATCAAAAACAACCATTGATTCAGTAAATGGTAACAGCCAAGCAAATAACTCAAGTTACAGAACAAAGTGACGTACACAACTATAGGGAACACTAAAAGCTTTTATGCAACATTTTTTGGAAAGATTAAGAAGCTATTAAGCACACCTCGTTACCATGCAAATCTACTAGGGTTTTCAACTCAGCTCTTCGAAAAAGTGCCACATGCCCATGGCCCAGCAGAAAGTCTAACAGCTGAAAATCACATAAGATATTCACGGTCAAGAGAGATACTCTGCAACAATTTACAAGCTTGATTGTCTTTCTCACTAACAAAAA